TACTTCTTACTGTGGCTCACAATTAGCCAGCACCACCTTTCTGGACCTGCAGAATCGTCTATCTGAAATGTAGACTAGGTCTTCACCAGCCAATCACCTATCGCCGTGCTCGTTGTGATGAGCCAGGTGCTGCAAGACGCGCGAGGCTGTTTACGGCGCGTTCTCCTCGCGGAGCGCCAACTCAGCCTGAACTCGTAACGCACGCATCGCGTGTAGCGGTGTTCGATCGCGCGCGAAAGCCTCACACGTCGCACGGACGACCCGCTTCCATCGCGCACGCACAGGGGGCCGTGGAAATTGCGACGTCGTAACAAGATGGACGTTGGCTTCGGAAAGAAGACAAAAACTGACAAAGTGGTGTTTATCTGCGACCGTGCGAAGATGGACGCACTCCTGCGGATGCTTACTTTATTAAGAGCACGCTATCTGTCAAGATCCTGTTGTTTCGGAGTTTCATAACTGAGACATAAGAACGTGCTTAACACACGATTCGGCAAATGGATACAGTGAATACAGAATTTACAGAGTAGGCCTGGGACAAGGCAAAACATCTTCAAGAAAATTTTGTTCTTCTTCTTCTTAGTATTATTATTATTATTATTATTATTATTATATTATTATTATTATTATTATTATTATTATTATTATTATTATTATTATTATTATTATCATTATTATATCATATTAGCAATAATATTAATATATTCTTCTCTTGTTATTCCTCTTCTCCGCCTAATTCTCCTATCCTCCGGCCCCTTCTCGTCATCGTTCTCATTGGTGCCTTGGATACCATTTATTACTGACGGTTTTAATATGACATGACAATTACAAGTGTCACTGCAACACGAAAGCGTGCAATACACTAATGTCGTGCGGGTTGCATAATGGAGGGTTGGCAAATTGTAGTGATTCGTGCGGTCTGAACTGATTATAGGTTGTGCTTTCACGGTTCTTTACAATCCTTTTCCTTGTAAATAAACACGTAGTTTAAATACTGTAACATAGAATACGATTTATTTATTATTACGACATAAATGTTGCGTAATAAATATGCACTTTGAATAAATCTAACCGTGTAAATGAGTAATTATGTTCGCTGATTATCAAACACGTTTTATTGGTTCAAAATGTATGAGTGGAGGAAGAAACGTACAAATTCTACGGTAACATGACTCTTTTAAGCAATGGTGTTTAAAAAAACGCGTCAAGCCTGGACCTCTGAATATTATCAAGTTATGAAGCAAACAAATTCCATATACAACCTTCAACATTAACTTCCAATTTCTGAGTTACATAATTTGATATTTGATCTTTACCTTCTCTGTAATATGACTCTTTTAATAGCGAGTGGCGTCAGCGATGTCGTTGTGACCCAAAGTAGTAACATAACACTTCTCTTTCTCCATTTAACCTTTTTTAACAGAAAGTATTATTAGAGAGTTTGTATTTAAAACATTTTTTAGTTTTTAAATCGTGGTTTTTGAATCAAATTAAATACATTTTAATTATTTTTCTTGAATTTAATGTACAATACTTATTATTTGCAAAACCTTTACATACGTGTCACTCTTTTGATGGCGACATCCTAAGACGACGTCATTCGTGAGAAATCGAGTTTTTTAGACACTATTTTTTTTACATATTCATGAATGAGGGTATATTTATTGTGTGAACACAATGAATTACATAATAGTACAATATTTTAATGTCTCGTAGTGTACGAAATGATTATACTTCCTCGCATTACGATGTCTGTTCCTTCTTCTTCTTCCCCTGATGCTCCTCAGCGTCAGGTTGGCCATTTGACATACTCCTTTTTGCCTTGTGCCTTGCGCTTCACCTCTCGTAGTGTAGCTCCGCTCTTTTGGCATATGCCCTGTATATGCGTTCCATGTTCCTCTTGGTGTCCCCGGTGGTGTCTTTCCCTCTGGCCTGGGTTCGATCATCACTTGTTTCGGCTTTCTATCCTCTGACATTCTATTAACATGTCCATACCACTTCAGAGACATGTTTTCCATTTCATTCTGTAGCGGTATAACTTTTAGTTATTGTCTAATTGGGTTATTTCTTATCCGATCTTCTTGTTTTCCCTACTATCCTGCGTAGGAAATTCAATTCCACTGCTGCGATTCTATTTTCTGTTTTCGTATTCCTTGGCATACGTCTTATTTATTCTAAGTTATTATTTAATAATATACCTAGTTTGCTTACATCACTCTAGTATTCAGTTCCTCCCCATATTTTCCGTCTTCCGAAATTATTATTCCTAAATACTCATAACTTGTTCCTTGCTCCGTGTTTTCCTTTCGCCACTTAATATACATTTCCTTCTATTATTTGCCTATACACATAACCTTGCTCTAATTTATGTTTATCTTAATATCCCTATCTTCCAGTGCATACCCCCACACGATTACCATATCTTGCAGCTCTTGGACTATTGGCGAGCAATAAAATATCGTCCGCGTACACCAAGGCTTGTATCCATACCGGTCTAATTTTCCAATTTCCACTTTTACATTTCTTAGTCCGCCTTTTGGTTTGTTTAATAACATAATCCATAAAGGTTATTAATAATAAAGGACTCAATTAATCTCCCTATTTAACCCCTTTGTCCATTATAAATGTCCTACTTAGTTGTCCATCCAGCCTTACAGTACCATACATACTTTTATATGTGCTTTTAATTACCCTCATCATTTTGCTGACACCTTCGCTTTCGCCAGTGCATCCTATAGTTCTTTCCTAGGTACTGTATCGAATGGTGACAGAAAATATATGAAGCAGTGCATACTGTTTTCCCCCTATTCAATGTTTCTTCAATCATGGCTCTTATAGTGTAAATATGGTCTTGTGTTTGTATGGTCTAATTGCCCCTTGGTCCTCTTTCAAGTTTTCCTCTACCTCCCTCCTTAATTTTACTTCCATTATCTTTAATAGCAAACAAATCGCCTTGTAATTTTTGCGGCTGGCAGTGTTCCCCTTTCTATGTAGAGGTACTACTATATTTTCTTCTCACTCTCGCGGTATTCTTTCTTCTCTCCATATCTGTTGACATTGTGCTGTTAGGCATGTCCTTCCCGATTTCCCAACATTTATAATTTCTGGTGATATTCCGTCTGAACTTGCTGCCTTCCCAACTCGAATTCTTCTCATTACCTCTTCTATATCTCTTTTCGTTATGGAATCCTCCTCCACCTCTGTTCCTCTCTCCTGGTGTCTCTCACTCATCAGGTTCGATTCGCCTTGCCCCTGTTTCCCATTTCCCAATAACTTGTGGACTTCTTGACTCTCACTCAACTCCCTCCAATCATCAGTGGCTGTCCTGTTATTATCATTGAAGATGTTCTCGTAATACTTCCCCAGGTTTCTATTACCTCTGTCTGTTCTGTCTTTAAGTTATTTGTATCCCTTATGCTTAATACGAGGATAATTGTTGGAATAAATTTGAAAAGAGCTGTAAAGGAATCGGCAGAATCTCGCGAAAACCCGCCTCGAAGCCGCCTTTGAAACGCTACAAATTCCATATTTATCGGCCGTGAATTTCAGTATTTAGAGTTGGGTGACTAGCAGTCTGATAATACCATCAGGGGTGTACTGCTACGAATTGTCAGTCCCGCGAGTAATTTTCAAATAGAAGTGAAATGGATTCCGTTCGCTTTCTTTACGACATAGAATCTGAAGAGAGAACCGATTTCAAAATAAAGCCCTCTTCTAACCAAATTTGGCTAAGTTCATCTCAGAGGCAACAGTGTCGCTGGTTCTGCGGCTGTGACCGGACGGTTCTAGAGTTCGAATCCCGACGGGGGCGGATTTTAGACACCAGATAGACAGCTTGGTCGAATTCAGGCGCCGCCGCCTGGAGTAGAATACTAATGGCCGCTTTCTATGATCGGTGGTTTTCCGTGTTTGTTTTTTTTTCTCATCAAAATCAGACTAATGCCAGAACAGAAGCTTAACACATTGGTCACGGAACGCGAGCGATCTTTCCTTCCTCTTCCTTGACCTATCGTCTCCTCTTACACCCCCCACACACAGATTCATATGCATTATTCCTGTCAGTCTGAATAGAGGTCTTATGTTAAAAGGATGATTTAAATCAAACATTATTTCAGAAATAATTATTTTAAATTAAAATAATTATCTTAGAAAAAGATAAAAAGGCATATCGTCGGCTATTGGAGGGCAACAAATAAGACCAAATTGGTTGAAAATTAGGGCAGGTCTAATGGCAGTAAGACTCGATGTCTGTGCACGAGAATGTGACGTGTGTGAAACAATGTCGCGTATAAATGAATTTCTTGCGACAAGCAGTACTTAAAATCATTAAGGCTGAGTGGTTGATATTTCATTGCTGGCAACCACATATCTTGCAGTCAGTCTAATTTTCTAGACATCTACAAGTTGAATGTCACCTATGCGGGTAATTATGTCTCTTTCAGTTGTTACTTTCTGTTTGGAAAAATGGCCATAATCGATTTGAAATTTAGCTGCATGTCCTACAATAATCCTAAAACACAGCCATAAACTTCTTCTATTCCTCGCCTGCTTACGCCGTTAATATTCCTATCTAGAAATAGGATCTTAACGACGGACATTAAGAGGCTCAAGACCCCCTCCTTTCTCGAGGTTTTGCTGCTTAACATGGAATCGAACTGAAAGGGAAACACTTAAAATTCAGTAAGTTCAAAGTCTTCGAAGTTTCTAAATGTAAAAAGACGTATGTTTAAAGAAATTCATTCTAAATAATATTTTAATAACTAAGAAGTTATTAATAATTTCATTTTATCTTCTCTACTTCTATGATTTACAGCTGACCCAAGGGGGGAACTCATTTTAATAAACTTTACCCTAAAATAATAACAATCATTTTTATTAATTACAAAAAGAATAAAAGAATAATTAAAACCAGAAATATCCTATCTATTTCTTTTACTCTAGTTACACTTTCCGAAGCTCCGAATGTTATAATCAGCTGAGTGTTATTAGCAGAGTCGATCATGAGAATAATAAAGTTAACCTCAGTTGCATTGGCGGTAATTGTGAGTATCATGTGCTGTTAGTTTGGTTATTATTGTTAATCAGCTATGCTAACGTGATAGTAAAATGCAGATACTGTGGAGCACGCAGAATACGGCGAGGCCAACCCCTTCACACGACTGACAACTACCTACTAGTTTTATTCGAACCTTACAAGAACTTACATTTGCTCAATTACGACGATTTTTCGCCTCCATCATCTTGTGTCGGTTTTTTTATGACCTCAACTTTTTACTTGGTTATTGCTTGGGTATTTACTTGATATTCGATTTGAAAACCAGAAACTCCTGCTGGACTAATATTAAATTGGCTTTTTAATTCGAATAAAACATTTATTGTTTGTTTTAAATAACATTTTGAAGAACTTTCTTTCAACTTTTCAATAAATCAGTATATTTAAATGACCAAATAATGAGAACCATTCATCTCTGCTACTTGTTACTTGATTTAGCGTTTAAAACACTACAAGGCTATTTCATGGATTCTGAACAATACAACATGTCTTTTCATAGCACAGGTAGTGACACTGCAAATTATTTTATCGCCAGTTACGAGCACGTATATCCACAATTATTGTGTGCCGAGCCATTAGTTCGCTTTATTTATTGGAAAAGGAGATATTACATTTCCACTAATTGAAAACACATTTTGTTAGAATGTGTATGTATTTCATGTACATACACATGTTTTTCTTTTAATGTCGTCCATCCCTTTCTAATTTCTGGCTGGATACAGTTCAAACATATGTACAGAACAAATGATAAATGTGATATTTTTGCACCTTTACATTTTATATGACTTCCATTCGTTGTTTTTTGACATTGACAACGAAACTACACGTAATTAATGTTCAAACAAATGTATGGAACAAATGACGACCCATGAAAGAAACTGAACTTCATAATATATTTGTATCTCTTCGAATACCCAAGTTCATTGTCAACTACTTAAATTTATTCATTTATGTCTGTAGATTGCAATGCGCGTAGATTAATATGCGCGCAGAAAGTGAAGAACATTATATGCAACCTCCGACCATGTGAGAGGTACCTAGAGCTTCGTTATAAACTCAGGAACTCATAAAAATAAAAAAAACAACAATAGACGTTTCCATTTTATCTAAGGATTTAAAAATACTTGATAGTGCCATTTTGATTTTTGTCATACTGAGTATATTGACTGAATTGTCGTACTTCACATGTTTACTTGTACATCACTGTATTCGCCAACCTGAAGTCACACGACAGAAAGGCATAGACAGCTTGGCATTAAACTTTTCTATTCGCGTGTTATGTTATGAGAAAACTCCAGTTTTGATATTCTTGGCATGTAGAGAACTGTTGTACTGTGTATATTCTGAACTCTAAAATTACAGTATTTTGTTTAAATTAAAAGAGATTTTTGTTTAAATACGAATATTTAACTTGTTGCAGTATCATACGGGAGTGTTTTGTTGTTCTTTGTGCTTTCCAGCAGCATTTTTGCCTCTGCAGGTAACTAGTGGTCTACTGAATGTTAAAGAAATATATTTGTAGCTGCAGTCTGAAGCGAATGTATCATATGGGAGTGTTTAGTTGTTCTTTGTGCTTTCCAGCAGCATTTTTGCCTCTGTAGGTCACTAGTGGTCTACTAAATGTTAAAGAAATATATGTGTAGCTGCAGTAGTGAAGCGAATGTTTGGGTGAGCGTGCGGGTGGCGGTGTTGCAGCGGACCGGTCGCGGCTGAACGCGGACGCGGCGGGCGCCGAGGGCGGCGCGCAGGCGCAGGGCTCGCCGTCGCCGTCGCCGTCGCCGCAGGCGTCGCCGTCGCAGCCGCCGCCGCCGCTCGCGCGCCACCTCTCCAAGTCGGCGTCGGACTTGAGCACGCGGCGCTGCTGCGATGAACACGATCAAGCGGGCGAGCGGCGCCCTGCTCCGACGTCGGCACCGGGGCCGTCGACGTCGCTCGCCGTCGCCGCCGCCGCCGCCTCCTCCGCCGCCGCCGCCTCCGCCGTCGCAGCCAAGACCTCCGCCCACAGCTTCTTCAGCACGCTCAAGGTCAGCCCTCTTCGCCACCGCCTTGCTGTGTAAAGTAGGTACCGTCTTCTCGTTTCTCGCTCGAACCGGGTTGGCTGCTGTGGACCCCCTCCCCCTCGCGCTCGCCTGCCTCGCCTTGCGTCTCCCTCTGTCCCCACGTGTGTGGGCCTTGGCTGGCGAGAGTTGCTTGCGAGTGTTGCATGCGGGTGGCGCTTGCGATGGTAGTCGGGGGTGGCGCTTGCAGGCGCTGCTTGCGAGTGTGCACGCGCTGTGGTGTTCCAGCCAAGGCATCGAACTAGAAACGAACCCTAGAAAAATAACAAAAACAATTAATAATATTCTTAACATTTTGATTACTCATAAACCTGTTCTTTAGATTTATTCTTTAAAAAAATCTCTGGAGTACTTCCCTGTTTTGTGTTGCTTGACGTAGTTAAACATTGGCATACTCATACTATATTGTTACGAAAATGATGAGCACGTAAATTGTATTAACGTTTAGAACATTATATGAGGCTTGCCAATAAACGAGCAGACGAAGTGTATGTATTTTCGTCCGTTTTGTCCGTAATTGTACGTATTATTTACTCTTCGTACTTTTTAAATCCCTCGGTCGTCCAAAGAGTTTGCCACAAATGTACTTTTAAAAGGTTACATTCGTAAATAGGCAATCATTTTATTGGAATAAGAGACCCGGTACTCTTTTCGAAGAACTTCACATTGACGGAAATGCATTCCTAGAAACGTACTGTCGTGATTCACATTTAGAGAGACTGAAATGTCAATTGAAAGGTAATCGATTACGTTTCCCTGGAATAACAGATGTATAACTGTAAGCTTCATGTAGTTAATATTTAGAGTGACATATGTTCAGTATTCAGCCCGTTCACATAGAAGTAGATGCCCGTATTAGAACTGTATTGTGAATTGCAAGCATATCAAAAACGTTCATAATATTTTAATAAATAATCAAGACACTTTTAAACATGTTTTCAACTTTATTTTTTGTCAACGTTCAATGAAGCATAAGAAATTAAAATCTAAAATTCATTAACTAAAATGATTAGGAATAATGTATATGAATGGTGTTTCGGTGCCCTGGTTCCAAAAGATTTGTTAGCACGCCTGATTGCTTTCGCACGCCGATTCTGCGGGCACATCTGCTTCCACTTCACTTTGACGCACCAGTTAGGTCCTATTGGACCATTCGTAGAATTTCCAGATCATCTTTCACATGTCTCAGGAATATAAAGGAACAAGAATCCCTTGTGCATTCACCTCCGACCGTGCAGGCTTTGGCATGGGAAGGAAATAGATAATTCTAGAGCAAGAATTTAATCCGCAAAATGCACAAGTTAACGAATCAAGTCACCTTAAATATTTCTATATTACCTTTGAAATACGTATTACATACAAATACAATTTACAATACGTCGCAAAGAAATTGTGACACATGTAATAGTACTGACTTTAACATTTTGCTTAAGGCAATGAAATAAATCCTCTAATTGAACAGAGACGTAATAGTCTTTGGTCGTGTCTAAAATTACATCCTGCATCGCATTTATAAAAAACATGCCTTGCACAGGAGGGATGGAATGACGGTGCCACGAGCATCTATCTGTAGCTGGCGGGTAAATCGTGTAAGCGAGACAAACGATGCGCGCTTCACATAAAGTCTACGGTGCCCCGTTTCCGGGCCTGAGAGTTTATTTCTGTCACAAATGTCGATATCTCGGCATTGCCAAACTGGAAACGAAACGTGTGAGTTATCAGAGAAAGCGCCCTACAAAAGCATTTTCACGTTCTAGGTTTTTCGACCCTGTTAAAACTGGCACGGAGTCCGGGGCTGCCCGCATGGAGGTTGCAATAACGCATCCTTGTAATTATTGAAGTCATTAGGCCGATGTAGAGTGAACGAACGCGGTTGAAGTTTGTAAACTTAGGCGATAGCCGAGCTCTATTATCAACCTAGTGCGTTATTTGTGATATCGGCCGATTACCGCTCGATACGTTTCGTAATACTATATTCTAATAAGAAAGAAAATGAAAAAATAAGAAATACATTTTCTTTGACTAGGAAAACACCATTTGCTTAGATTCTTTTTTTCGAAAAGGTCATAAAATTCCGTCACTGACTTGGAGCTACAGAACGTCACATACATTCTCGTACTTACTACTTCTATTCTCTTTAGTCTGGGATAACTTTTCGGTTTTGCCTCACTCTCGTTCCAGTTACCATGTATTGTTTAAAAAATATTTTTTTCACGTTTCTTCGAACTTTTGGTTGTCTAATGGTAGAAAAGAAATTCGACTTTAAGAATATTAGAGAAGAGCAGTAAGGCCTTTCTGAGTACATTGTGAAATGTGACTTCAAATTAACTTTTCCCCATACCACGTCACACACAGTTTTTAACTGTTCTTGACGTAAATAAATAAACAAATGAATATCATAATTAGTCTACATTGTATGTTAAACAAATAAATAAATAAGGCCTTTTAAATACTCTTCTAGGAACAAACAATTTAGGTGTCTTCCCAAGATCATTTTATGCCTTTCTACTATTCTCTGCCGAGTTGTCTGTTCTCTCCCCTTTTCTGAAACAAGGGTCTGCAAAATCCAGGTTATCGAAAATTGTTCGTGAAATTACATTTGTAGTTTACAGAACTTTATATGCTGATTTCAAATATAAGCTCCATTCTTTTTTATTATGCAAGTTTTTTCACAAAATGTGTATTGGAATATACGGAAAAAGAATAAATTCATTTGTCGCAGAAAAATATATTTGAGAACGAAAATTGAAAGGATCAAATACAAAATTTTATATGATGAAAATCACTCCAAGAGTTTACTAACATTACACTTCTTTGTAAAACTGTTTTATTTTCTCAAGAAAGTTCAAATTACCACTTCTCCTTTTGTATGACGAACGCACAAACGCATTCATAGTACTCTGGACACAGATCCCACCGGACGTACAGGAATGCAGAAATCAGTCAAAGGAATAAGATTTCTAATGACAATTATGTTCAGAAGTGAACAATAATGGAACTGCAGGTCTAGAGTAACACTGTCTTAAGTCTGAATTCTCAGAAATAAGATCAAGGGTACCAATGACATGGTAGAAAAGTGTATTTTTTCTGCAGACCTTAAAATTAAAATACTCATTTTTTCGAAAGTAATGAGCGATGGAATTTTTGATTATTGTTCCTGAATTCTACACCCAAATATTTGTGTAAATAACCTATTGCTTTGCAGACAATTTTTCATATGCATCCCTGTGTATTTAAAGCAGTCACCCAATACTCACATCTGGCTACATCACATGTTGCTATGGATTTTTTTATATTGTTTTCTGAATTCAGCACAAAAAAATACGTGTAAATCACCTATTACTCTTTGTACAATTTTCAGATGCAGTCTGTGTAATTAGAAGCAGTCACTCAATTCTCAAAAGTCACTACCCAATATTCAATACTTAATACTCACATCTGGCATATTCGGAGGGGATACGGTTCTCGCTATGTGATTGGCCTGTATAAATTGTCTCCGCTAGTCTTGCTTCTCAATGATGTAGTCACCGTCAAGATTCTGACGCTTTACTCTCGGGTGGTATTTCATATGAAGTTCCTGGGGCATTTCCAAATTTTCTCAATGGCTCAATTTTGTTCTTTAAATTTTTTGTGTGAATAAACTATCCTTATAAAGATGGCATATCTCCAATTTTCAGTTAGCCACGAATTTTCAAAAACTGCAAAAGTTGTCATTTTCTGAACTTCCTCGTAGAATTATATAATTGTATAGAGATTTTTTGTTCCTTTTCGAACGGATAGTGCTAAATGACCTAAATAACGTGAAATTATTGTCATTTTGACGTATTTTTTGGTTTTGCAAAACTACACAGGGGAATTTTTTTCATATCTCACGTCATTAATGTCATTATTGGCGTTCTTTATTCATTATTGCGTTTGTGAATATATGTGCTTGAAATGATGTCTTATGAAGTTTCTAGAAAAGCCAAAACTTTTCTCTGAAAATTAGTTCAAACGTTCCAACATTTTCTCAAAAACAGCTCAACATTTTTCAATCAAAATTTCTACTTTTCTTTGATACTCTGAAAGTCATATTTCAATTCTACTATTTATGGTGTCGTAGGATCGAGAAAATAAGAAAAATATGTCTTTCAGGTACCGTTAGATAGCTGCTCAGAAGAGGGTGGGGTAAATGCAGACAGCTAGTCCCAACTAAAGAAATTAGGGTACTGACTAGTATGAGGACGTCTGTGCCATTCTGTAGCACTACTAGTCATTAACTTCGAAGGATAAACTATTCAAAATATGAATGCATTGGGTAGGATTACTTTTCTTTGCAATGTCAAATGTGTGATGTGCCATTAGTTATCATTAGTGACACTGTCGTGCAGCGTTCGTCCACAGTATAAATGGGAGTTGAGATGATAAACATCGCTATCCGCTGCTTGTTCTCTGGGGCATTTGCTAGTCACGCACGGTTATCGATCGTCAAGGTGGTGCAAAATATGGCGAATTGTTTGAAGTGCGTTGTCCAGTGAACATATTTCCACGACTGTTTACTTATTTAACGCCATAAAACAGTAAAAAAATTGGCTTTGACAATTAAAGAGTTAATTTTAGAATTCTTTCGGGCCAGGTACCCTCTGCCTGTCTTCATACTCATCTGTGTCTCGAGAGGAAGTAAGAGCTCCGGACTATGCGATAATTGGATTCGGTATTCATTCTTATATTTATAATTGGATCGTATATTCAATCATTCATTTATTGTTAGTGATTCCGGGCATATCAACTAATACGGTCATTAGTCCCGTAAGTGTGGTATTTTTTTCTCGGGAGTAGGCGGTGGCCTTCCCCCTCGAAATGGCTAGATCCGATGCAGACCTACCGTCTGCTAGCTAGGTTTTCCCTAATCAGGTATCTCCTACCAGCGGGAGAGCATCCCAGCCTGGATAAGCTCCTGACCGGTCTCCTGGCATTGTGTCGTAGTGTACTGCATGTTCGTTAAAGTAAGGGGGGAGGTT